CCCGCGTGTATGTCCAATTCAATGGTTTATGAGATTTACTGTAGAAGGCAAGAGATTTGTTATAATTTGAGGCTCTCAACAACACAAGTACCCAGCAGCAGGTGCTCTTAATTTACATGTTTCACGTGACAGGTCAGGTGGACAGATTGAGAGTGACGACCACTTACCCATGATTATGTCCAGTGAATTTACGAGTACTTTACGGGTATAAGGCCACAATCTTTTATGCATTTCTTCCTTTCCGAACGAGTTTAAACTCGGTCATTTAGACATGACCAAGTGATAAAAAGTTTCAAATCGGTTATTTCATTACGGGCCAATGATAAGAAGTTTCAACTCGGTAATTTGTGTAATAATGTGTTCAACTGGTAGGAAGTTTAAACTAGCAGGTCATTTCGATATATTGTATTTCCAATTGACAAGAAGTTAAAACACAGGCATTTCGATATGTTCAATTAGTGGGACATTTAAACTAAGTTATTTTGATGTGTCCAAGTGATGAAAAGTTTTAACTAGGCCTTTTTGATATATTAAAGAGGTAAAAAGTTTAAACTATATCATTTCGATATGACCAAATAATAAGAAGTTAAAACCCGGTCATTTCTATATGTCGAAGTGATAAGATCAAAGAAGGAGACAGAAGAAAAACACGAAGGCAGGATCCGTACACCAAAGTAAAGATTGACCATTTCCATCTGAGCTCACGCGCATGATTAGTGTTTGTGAGATCCCACTACACATTTTCATCTATGGGGCACGGGTAGGGGGCAGAAGAAAGACAGAGGGAGTCGGCGGGAAAAAAGAGGGGAGGTGGGGGTGGGGTAGGGTAGTTAGACGACACTACAATCAAAATCTCGTCACTCTGTTAAAACGCCATTCATTTTTTCAGGGTACGGGTTTATTTTTAGTGAGCTCCTAACCAAGCCGGAACCTTTATGAATAATTCATTAAGGTTTATGATACGATGTTTTGATTTACAGCTCGATACGCGTCACTTGCGGACAATAGCGCAGTAGAAACTCGGGACTCTGCACGCCTGTTGCAATTAGACCAAAAATTCCAGCTTTTGACTGCACTTTGGCCTAGTTTATCAAACCTGTACGGCGGGCGCACTTTTGTTGTCCGGTGCTGCTTTATGTTGTTGTGTTTTGGCTAATTTGCAACATGCAGAAACGCAACGAAAGTCGTTGGGTTGTTTTAACTAAAAACAGTCCACAGCATCGAGTTATCAAATGACCAAGGAAAAAAACATCAAACAAGAGGAAGGGGTCTGGTGATAAACTGACCTACATTCACCAGTAAAAGCTGTCGTTACTCTTTTGACTCTGGGTAAATGTTAATAAATGCAAATTTCTACTTTTGGTGTAGTTTTAGTAAGACTTTTATGGCACTTGCAACATAATAAAGTCATTGAAGTGCCGAAGATTAGAGATTTGCAAGAGAGTAATAAACACAAAAAAGGAGGAGAGATGAGGACGATAGTGGTTTAATAAGAAAGAAGGAGCAAACCACACCAAAACACCCGCCAACCACCCGCTGAATATCTACGCTGAGATGCACGTGTGTCTTCGTTACATCAGTGGCGTAGGTGGTTAGGCTCTCGGACTTGCAACTGTCAGGTCGTTGGTTCACATACCGTCATATCGTCACGTTGTGTCTTTGGGATAGACAATTTACAGGAATGTTCCTCACTTCACTCATCTGGGAATGAGTAATCAGCTGCTTTCCCTGTATGCTTCACGGGAAGCCGATAGTGTGCCTTAAGTTTTCTAGGATTTTTTGGGTTTAATAATAACAATGATGACGATAATTATTATTATAATAATAATAATAATAATAATAATAATAATAATAATAATAATAATAATAATAATAATAATAATAATAATAATAATAATAATAATAATTGTATAGTGCAAGGCGCATATAAGTTGCTGTCGAGCAGGGATTTGTCCCATACAAATTATGCACTATTTCAAGCTTTCTTAAATACTTTTTCTTTACTTAAACAACTGGGGCCAGTGATTCGCCTTTTGTTGTTCATGTCCCTTGGCGTTAAAAGATTGTCCTACTTTTTACAACATTGAAGCAGCAAATAATACTAAGAGTGGCACCATTAATGATGAGATAGATTGTAGAGCGCATAGAGCTTTCTGTTGAGCGGGAATTTTCCGCTATACAAATGCAATCTAGCTTTATTATGTATTGTTATAATCTATTGTTATCATTATCATCATTATTATAATTGTTGTTGCTGTTGTTGTTGCTATTATTATTGTTAGTAGTAGTATTAGTATTATAAAAATAATTTGGGATTGAGCTATCACATGAATGCAAGACATCGCATGCGTGTTTGAATACATCATTTTTATTGTACACAAACGGAGAAGTTCACAACATTTCAAAAATTGTTGCTTTGATTAATTTATAAGTATTTTACATGATCATCATCATCATTGTCACCATCGTCGTCGTCGTCGTTGTCATTCTGGTTTTAGGTACGATTTAAAACAATTAATAAAACGTTTATTGAGTATTTCTGAGTTGTGGTTTTATGACATAAAATATGTTCGAAGTTTCACGCTTATTGGCTTCTTTAGGAACGTGATTAAAACAACAGCAACCATCATCATCATCATCCTCATCATCATCATGATCATCATCATCATGATTATGTTCATCATCATCATCATCATCATCATCATCATCATCATCATCATCATCATCATCATCATCATCACCATCATCACATGACCCATGAACTTACCGTGTTATACTATGTGTTCCCAAACGTGATTCTAGAATCCAGGACCTGATCCACTATAACATAGCAACAACACAGTCCACAGGATCAATGTACAGTTAACATAAAGAATCACATTTAAGGAAAAGAAAAGCAACTATCTTTACATCATGACTTTTTCACATGGTATTCTGAACGGTCGGAGGAAATAACTTTGGATGTGCTTGCATTGCTTCAAAGTGTTCGTTTGCAACTTACAGCAAGACTGGCACCCCCGCTGGTACTGTTTTCAAACGTAGTCTCTGCGATACTACTACTCCTACTACTACTTCAACAACACCAACTACTACTAAAACTACTACTGCTACTGCTACTGCTACTACTACTACAATTTCTACCCTTATGCCCAGCTACTACTATTACTACTACAACTGCAGCAGTAGCAAGAAATTCAGCCGGTTCACCAAGAACACATAGAAATCACCACGGGAGTGAATTAATGAAGTAATCCCCCCCAAGAAACGTCCTCAAACGCCGGAACCGGGAAACAAAAAGCTCCCGCCGACCTCGCGCGGGCGGACTGGGAATTCGGCCGATGGTGTGAGCGCGCACCACAGGCACCAGACACCAGCGACGCTGAGGGAGCGGGTGGGCTAGTGGGCGGGTGAGCGGGTGAGGGGGTGGGTGGGTTG